TCAGCGCACCGTTAATCCAGTGAGTAGTTCAGAGTCAGTCGGTGAGCCTCCTTGCATTCCGAAGGATCTATTTTCAGTGCTTTCTAGTTAGTTCATTAGGATGTTGTGGGGTTGTCCCAACATCCATCTCAGTTGTTTTAGAGGCTTCATAAACAGTCATATGTTAGTCCTTTGAGTCTTTTCATTATCATTTCTTATTGTTAAGACTTGGGTTGCCATTTTTGGCCAAGTTGAATGTTTAACCTTTAACATTCTCAGTTATCTTATTATTCAGTTCAGTTAAGTGTTATTGATCATTATAAGTATGAATATTGTCTTCCGCTGAGTTAAGTAAGTCAGACCAAGGGTTCTCTTGGGGCCAGCGATGGTCTTCGAGTGTTAGTCCCGCCCAGGGTGGAGGCTCGGGACGTGACATTCCACTACCTGTTTTTTGCCTTGCTTTGAGGGAGGTACATACTCCAATTTGTACCTTGCATTCGTCAATTTTGCTCTATCAAATTCTTTCCAAATCAATTTCTTCTTACCTTGTGATGCAACTTCCTCCTCTACTTCAACAGCCCAGGATTGGTTGCTACAACTTGATTCAACTTGGCTCCCTCCCCATGAGGTCTGTACAATCTCATTCCAAAATTCCAAAACTTTTGCTTGTTGTTGCTTCAATGTTTCCTGGTTGCATGTAAGGCTGGGTATCGGAACGGGTTGTACCGGTACCATTCCGGTCCGTTCCGGTACCATTCCGGTTCGTTCCGGTCCGGTAGTATTCGGGACGGGATGGGATACATTGAACCGGTACACGGAACGGAACGGTACCATGATTTGGTATCGGTATACCGGTACCGGTTCATCCCGGTTCATTCCGGTTCCGTTCCGGTCCGGTCCGGTCCCGGTAAATCATTTTTAATTAAAATAAAAAATAATATTTTTGTCATTATTTACTTTTATTAGCATTTCTTTTTTGTTTATTTAATTTTTTTAAAATTACAAACTTAAGTTATTTAACTTACAAGTTATAAGTATAACTTAATAACTTATAAACTTCAAAAGATTCAAATCTTTAAAACTTATAACATAACTACATAAGCTCAAAAACTAAAAAAAAAACTTTATTAAACTTAACTTACAAACTTATATACGTAAAAATTAAAAAAAATATCTTTAAAATAAACTTAAGTAAAATTATTATAAATTTTAAAACTTAAATACTATAAACTAATATAACTTAGAAAAATAAAAAAACATTCGTATTTTCGTAATTCAAAATAACTCAAAAAAAAATAATATTTTTTGAAATAGCTATATGTGCCGTCCCGTTTATCCCATCCCGTTCCGTTCCGGTCCGTCCCGGTTCTATCCCGGTATATAGTGGGACGGGACGGAACCGAGCCTCCATCCCGGTAGTTCCGGTCCGGTTCATCCCGGTACCGGTCAACAACCCGGTCAAACCGTCCCGTTCCGGTTCGTTCCGGTCCGGTGGTCCCATTCCGGTCCGGTGCCCAGCCTTAGTTGCATGGTACTGTACCATTAGGCTGCTCTTGCATATTATCGATTAGCATCTCAGTTGTTACTTTAGCTTTATTTTTCAGTTGCACAGAAACTGGATCTGGACTTAGCTGCCTTAATTCCTCTACACCTTTGGATTCTACTGATTTCATTCCTGAATCAGCTGCCTTCGAACTTGATTCTGCATTTTACCCCTACCGTACCTGGTTTCCGACCACGTTGAGAATTAATCCCCTTCATGACTTGAGCTTCCTTCGCCATTAACGCCTTTTGAGTGGGTATACGAGCTCTCTTATTCATGGTGGGCGCAGGTTATGCTACCGTGCACAGAGAGAGAAATCATACCATACTTGAGTTTTTATTTCTTGATATATTTTAACGGAAGAATTGAGTATGTTATAATTTCATTTTTTTTAAACTAATAAGAATCCAAGTGGATATGCCTTGACTAGGTAATTATTAGTTATTAATTTAATAATGGGAAGTTGAGAGTTTTAGGGACTTAATTAAATGGCCATTTAGTTATAAAAACAAAAAACACCTTATTTGGTGCTATTTATTTATAACTCTATCATCATATAAAAAAAATATAAGAATCTGTAATAATACAACGAGATATAGACATAAATTGTAGTCATTTTTTAAATAACATATTATAGCTATTGAAATTCAATAACCCTAAAACTATAGTCTCTTTTGTAAGTTGCTCAAAAATAATGTATTATTACTTAAATAAGTGATAATCCCTCCGTTTCTATTTATATGTAACAATTTTAGATTTCACATTCCTTAAGAAATTAAATAAGTTTACCATTGTATCCTTATTTAGTATTCTTTTGAAGACAAATTTTCAATAAATGAACATAAATTAATTTATTTTGATTAATTAAATTGATCAATAAACATGAATTAATCATTTAGTTTTCATATGTTGATCAAATTCATAATTTGAAGGCTAGTAACTCTCAAGGGTAAAATAGGAAGAATATTGTTATTTATGTATTGATTTTGTGAAATGACAAGTATTAAGAAATATGTATTTTTAATAAGAACAACATATACATAGAAATCGAGGAAGTATAATATTACTCACTCCGTTTCAAAAGGAGTGACCTAGTTTGACTTGACACGGAGTTTAAGAAAATAAAAAAGACTTTTAAATCTTATGGTGCTAAACTAAAGTTATGTCAAATGTACAAAATTGCCCTTTAATCTTGTGGTCTTAAACATGCCACGTGAAAAGCTGGAAGTAAAATATTACCAAAAAAGGAAAAAAGATATTCTTTTTGAAACAAACTAAAAAGGAAAGGAGATCATTCTTTTTGAAATAGAAGGAGTACATAAATAAAAATGAACATCTATTTTAGCATAATAAAACAAGTAAAAGTGGGACGGAGGGAGTAATATAATAGTCCACCAAAAATAAAAAAAATTATTGGAGAGAGTGAGTTGTTTATGAAGAAGATAATATAATATTGGAGGGTATCCACAATCCCAACAAGGCAACAACCATATCTTCCATTAAGAGTAAATATTAGAGATCACACCTTCCTCAGTTGACTTTGGTTTTTGAGTGATGTTTCCTTTACAACAAAGTGATGATAATGAGTTGGTATTTCAGATTCTCTCAAATTCTTGCCAACAACACCAAATCTCCCAAGATTTCATTATGAATTATGCTATTCATCCTTCTCCACGGACCACTATTCATCATCAGCTAAATCATGTTAAAATTATTCCAAAGAAAAAGATTTGGGTACAAATAATCCACATAAAGTTAATGATGATGATTTGAAGCTTAAGAAAATTATGCATAGAGATTTGGAACGTCAGAGAAGGCAAGGAATGTCTATTCTTCAGTCTTCTCTAAGATCTCTCCTCCCTATTCACTATGTCAAGGTATTATTATTACACCAAATCAATTACTATTACTAAAATTTCATTCTTCCCTTTTTAGACTATATATGTGATAATGTTCAGATTATCCTAATTTTTGTACAGGCCTTCGAAAAAAATTAAAGATTTTATGTTTAAATTTACCATCAAAAGTTTGACTATCGTCTATCGAAATATATGTCATGTAAATTGAGACAGTAGAAATACACATACATAGTTCAAAGACGAAAGCAATTAAGAGTATTTATTAGATGAGTAACTCATAAGATCCACCTCTATGCCTTAATTTTCTTTTTCTTCCGTATAACCTTATAAATCTGAATATGCCAATTATATATTCTAGGAGAAAAGAGGAAAGGGGGAATTTACTAGAAAACATTGAATTAGCTATGGGATTTATCGATAATCTCCGGATAATTAATCCCTAGATAAATAGCTCTTAGCTAAATAGATTTTCTAATAATCCATTGCTAATCCCATAGCTAAATGAGATTAGCATGAATTTTTTGTTGTTTAGATACTAAATTTTGTCTGTTGCTAATTCCTTGTTTTCTTGTTTGAAATTAAGGATTCAATAGGGTATTGTTGATAATATTAATGGTTATTTTTATTTTAATTCTTCTTAATTTAGGGAAAAAGATCAGTGTTGGATCATATGCATGAAGCGGTGAAGTATATCAAACAGTTGCAGGAAAATATGAATGAGTTAGAAAGAAAAAAGAGAAGCTAAAAATTATGCTTCCTAACTCAAGGAATAATAATCCTTGTGGAAAGGAAAATATAGTGTATCCCAACATTGTGTGACAGTGAGTCCATGTCAAGGTGGTGTAGAGATTTTAATCAATGCAAAAGGAAATAATTTAGCCCTCAATCTCCAGAGTGATACAAGAGCTAATTAATGTAACAAGGGATTGATGTTGTTACTTGTGTTTCTGCTAATGTCAATCAAAACTCTCTCCATAAAATTCAATCCGAGGTATGTACGTACATACTCTATCATAATCTCTATATGTTCTGATACCATATATATATAGTACTATATGTCCATTATCTCATGAAGACGACTTATGCTATTAGAGAGAGCACAAAATTATATACTACTATGTCTTAAGGCATTTCGAGCTTTAATTTGTTGTTTGAGCATTGGATCACCTTTCTTTAATCATGAATCATCCTACTGCAGGTACGTGATATGAAATGTATCAATGTTCATGCACTGCAAACAAAGTTGATTGATGTGATCATGAACATTGATTTGGAGTAGTTTTTAAGTGGAAATCCTTAAGTCAGAACTCAAGAATCATGCCAAGTAATCATCAAGACCTTCTTTCCCTCTTATATATCTCGAATAATATGTGATTTTAGTTACTACTACTATTCAATAAAAGAGGTTAGGAAAATGCTTGATGATTGAGCTAATAAAAATAAGGGATAAGGCACAAGTACCCTATACTATGACTCAAATTTCAGAGATACACTTTAACTAAACTAAGGTCCTATTACCACCCCCGAACCCATTATTTTTTATAATTTTGTACACCTTTTTGGCTTATGTGGCATGCAAACATCTGTCACACGCTTTTACCTATGTGGAGTCACAGAGTGTGCCATGCACGCAAGCCCAAAGGTGTACAAAGTTACAAAAGAAATGAGTTCAGGGGGTAATATGACCTTAATTTAATTTAAGTGTGTCTTTGAAATTTCAGTCATAATTAATCTGAAAGATACTTATGCCTTATCCCTAAAAATAATGGTGGTTTTGAGCATATTATATAGATTTGACTTGCAAGAGATCAATGATGAAGATATATCCACGTGAAGAGTCCCATATCGGTCCTTAAAATAATTTGGTTATTCTTATTTAATTGCTTGAACTAGTTTTTGAGGTTAGTTAGACTCTCGATCCATTTCCTCAATAATATATTTGTTCACTTCATGATGGAAAATATAGAATGAGAAATGGATCTCCAGTCTCCTGACTTTCTGATGTCATAGGAGAAGATGACAAATATTTGCATTTGGATTATATACATAGTGCAATACTAAATGTTGCATGCTTTGCTGGAATAAAAGGTTTAATCTGTCTCTCTGGCATATATATTAGAATGAATATAGATGGTAAAATCATGTGCATAACTAATTCCGAATTGTTTGAAAACATACACATGCTCAGAAAATACTTAAATGGGTCATTTTGTTGGTGGTTAGTTAGAGTTGCGTAAGTATTTGTAATGTAAGATTGAAATTCGTTATCTGTATTAGTTATTCATATAGGAGTATTAATTATTTCATTTTCTACTTAACATAATAAAAAAAAAAGTATATAGATTCCTTCATAACTTATATAATAATACAGTTTTAATTATGAAGGATTATTATAAATTGCTAACAAAACATCTTAGGTGTGTTAGAATTTTACACATAACAAAAGGCAAGTTAAGAGTGAACCTATGCAATTTAATTTATCTATGTTTACCTATGTTTGGACAAATCATATGTTTCCGTTTTTTTTGCGGTAAATGATGATTTAAAAGTTCATTAATTGGGTTTAAATGCAAGTTAAGAGTGAACCTATGCAATTTAATTTGTTATTTGGTCTACACACCATGTGAATTTTATTTTTTAATGATAAACGGGACGATAATTCAATCTAAGACACGTGTCTACTGGATCTGATTATTATTTAACTATGTCACTATCTTATTTAAATTTTCATTTTACTCAATTATTTTAAAGAAAATGAGCACGGTATACACAATACAGTCCCATTAATTTATTAGTATTCTCCCTTTAGGAGCTTTGCAAGAAATTAATTAGAAGGGCTCACAAACTAGCTCATTACATATATACTATTCAATTATACTGAAGAAGCAATAATTAACGAAGAGCATCTCAAACATCTATAGCTTATTTCAAACAAATAAAGGGTGAAAAATCGACAAAGATGATAAACGATGACAGCCAATTTAACATCGTACGTACTGCTTTGATGTTGATGGTCATGAAATAAAGAAAATATTGCCCTATTCTTTGATTCCTCGTCAATGAAAGGCCAGTAATGACAAGGAAAGTTCACATTTACAAGTGAACGTGAACGTTCAACGTTATTGCTTTAATGCTAAAAGTACTCCCTCCCATCCAGTCTAGTTCTTTTTTGTCGTTATTACTAAAAATAACCGGTTCAAAATACTTGCTCAATCTTGTCGCAATTTAGTAGTTTGATTTAACACGAAATTTTAAAACTAATTTTTTTTTTAATTTGTGGTCTAAAATAAGTGTTTATAATTTGTTTGACTATAAATTAAATAATTTCATTAGAGGTAAAATAAACATTTTAAAACTAAATTATTAAATGTGTTATTATTTTTGAGACGGATCAAAAAGGAAATCAAGTCATATAAATTGGAACAAATATATTATTATAGAAAACCAAGATAAATTTTGATAATTATAAAGAAAAAATAATGTTGTTAAAAGAAAAGTAGTATCAAATTAAGATTAATATTAAAATAAATTACAACGATATATAACCCCATAAAGTGAAATTTGAGAAGTCTGAACATACACAAATCTTACAAATATTAATAAAATAATAATTTAACTAAGCATAAATTAATTAAATTATTATTTTATTAATATTTATTAAAGAGCTTGTATTGACAAGTAAATAGATGGATAGCGCTTTCTACGGTGAGTTAGTCAAAGATGATGAACAATTTTTCAGCGAGGTAAATCATAAATGCCAACTGGAAGAAAGAGGTGGCAACTTTTCCTTTTCACTGTTTGGTTCTATGTGTTTTAAAGATTCACATAGAATACAAGCATGAAATTGACATAAAGTCAACATTTTTGGAACCATATAGTAAATGTTTTTAAAAAGACCTTACTAAATGGGTTGGGTGGCAATCCTTTTGTTAAATTATCACTTATAATCTTATGACTAATTAAGTATTAACTGTTTTTGAGTTTCTTCTTTAGAGATAAAATTTTATATGTTTCACATCCTTTAGCTGATTCTTATCTTTCTTAAAAAGAAAGAACATTGTCATAATGAATTTTTAAGGCCTAACAATATTTGTGGATTATATTAAATCGATCTTGAAATAAAGTTCCATATAAATTGCACCCTCAAAACATGACACAACTTCAAGTTTCATAGTATGGATAAAGTAATGAAGACTGCTTCAGAGTACTATTGCATAAGATTAATAATCTTACAACCAAAAGGAACAATTAATCAAATTTGGGTTTTTAATTTTTTTTGGTACACATAATTGAACATAATACAATTAATTTTTTTTGGTACACATAATTGAACATAATACAATCTGAATAACAACCACATAAAAGGCCAGTATTTCTATAAGTGAGCATGAAATCTTTTGTTCATGTTGTTAGAGTTGTTGCATCGTTCGTGGAATTGGGAACTTGGACTCAAAACCCATTTCAAATTTCACTGATATTAATTAAGTCCCCATTTTTTTGGGGGGGGGGGGAAGTTACGTGGCCCCCCAAATCACTAGGATGATGATACATACGTCATACAACTAACCAACTGAGCTACAATCCACTTGTCTGTTGGACTAACTCCCATATTATATTGTTAAGCTCCAGTTCGAATGATTAGGTGTGCACAAAGTGTTGAGTCTCCAACATGTGAGAAATGAGGGACTTGGTTCATTATATGGTTTGGTCACCCCTCTCCTTGTGAGCTAAATTTTGGGATTGAGTTGGACCAAAAATTTATTTCTTTTATCACTTGTCAACTATCTTGCAATGACTTAATTAATTATCTTGGATAACTTTGATAATAACTATCGATTATGAAAAATAACAGTGTTACAATTTAGTTTTTACATTAGAAGATTTCTACTTAGAAAGTCTATATTATTCTACACAGTCTAAGCTAGCGTTTGGCCATAGATTTCCAAATATTCTTGGCAAATATTATTTGGGTGAAAATTTGGGTGAAATTTCATCATGTGTTTGGCCATAGTATTTGTGAAATATATTTCACTTTTTAGAAAAATATGATTTATACCCATAAGTTTTAAAAACTATCAAAACTAACCATAATTTTGTATTACAAGTCAATTGGATCTTCGTTGCAACAAATAACAAGTAGTTTCCATGCCACTAGAGCAATGTGGTAGTTTGGAGTGAGTGCAACAAACATCATTTCATACATCGTGAAGTAGACAAAGCACATGACTTTGTTACCTTGAGCCGATTGTTCATCATTTTCATCAACAACCATATCATCACTTTCATATTCACTGAATATTTCATCACTATTTTGGTGTTCACGTAAAAAATTATGTAATACAACGCAAACAACTACTATAGAGGGTGTTTTTGTAAAAGATAAAAGTTTGGTGTAAAATTTCAATTTTCAAAAGATCCCAAATAATGAGATTTGGCCCAAATACTAGAAAAAACTAGTATTTGGGAATTTGGGATATTTGCCAAAAATATTTGCCAAATAATGGCAAATTGTATGGACAAACACTATTTGCCAAATTTTTCCCCAAATATTATTTGGGAAATCTATGGCCAAACGGGCCCTAAATTGTCTAAAGCTTTTTGAAACTAAAAAAAAAGGAGAAAAGGGTTAAGAGTCTCCACCAATAAATAAAAAAAGAGATTGAGCTGAACTACCTTTTACATAAAGGTAAGGGATACCCTTTGGGGGTTTGTACTTGGACTAGCTACCAATGTACCAAATACATCAACTAATACTCAAAACAAGTACATTTAATCATTTTAAAATTGTTAAAACACATTATAAGCAAATGAAACTCCTGATTTTCTTTCTAATTAGAAGATACGATGCTGTTAACCTATTCTTTAATTTTTAAAAATTTGTCTTTGTACGTAATACATGATGACAAATCCCTAACTTTATCAATTTCCCATTTTTCTTTTAAAAAGAACAAAAAAAAAATCTTTCTGTATCTTAAGGAATTGATACTGTTCCAATTTTTTTTTTTTTTAGAGCCAAGTTGTCATGTCCTCTTTATACATCGTAGGGCAGGCTAATCTATAGGAACTCACGTCCTAGTAAGCATAGTCTATATAAAAATGATTTTGGACAACTCACAGATAGATGCAACTTCATACACTTATTAATATATTCCAATATGAGCAAGATTTGGATATATACATATCTTTTTCTCTAGCCAAATCAAAATGAAGACCAACTTGGTCTTATTTTAATTACAAAAAATTAAATTCCACTGTTGCTCGGTTTTTTCTTTTCTTAATATAATAATTGTTTTTTCTTTCTAATGGTGGAAACCCACTTGCTAGACTGATTTTCTTAAAACACAAACTAAGATTACTCATGAACAAAATGTCACCTTAAACGGATTACACAAACAAAATTTAGGTCAACATGTTATAATGTGTTTGTAACTTTTTTTAATTTGTTCATAGTGCATATTTTTAATTCGTATAAAAAGTTAGCTAGTTTGACCATCTGAATCGTGACACCAAAATTGAAACGGAGAGAGTAATTAAACTCCCATTATAAAGTAGGACTCTACATTAATTAAAATCTGATTCCGATACATAATACATTTGTTGAAGAGTGACGAAGTCCTACGTAGGTGGTTAATGGGCTAAGTGATATCCTCATATGATTTTAAATAGGGCAAATTACAGAAATCACATACTTTTAAGGCAGAATTACAATCTATCCCTTAAAAATTTATAATTACAGAAATTCCTCAAACGGATACAATAATATAAGCGCTGATACATTAATCTGATGCGCGAGATACATTAATCGTTAAGTAAGATACATTACATTTTATACATGATACACTAATCTGATGCGCGAGATACAATAATATAAGCGATGATACATTAATCTGATGCGTGAGATACACTAATCTGATGTGCGAAAATGAGGGATTTTGGAAATTTGTAAAACTTATAGGGGATAATGGTAATAAGTAAACTAAAAGGTGGGATTTCTGTAATTTTTCCTTTAATTCGTTAAGTAAGATACATTACATTTTATACATGATACACTAATCTGATGCGCGAGATACAATAATATAAGCGATGATACATTAATCTGATGCGTGAGATACACTAATCTGATGTGCGAAAATGAGGGATTTTGGAAATTTGTAAAACTTATAGGGGATAATTGTAATAAGTAAACTAAAAGGTGGATTCCTGTAATTTTTCCTTTTAAATAATTCTTTCCTCAAGAGCTAATTATTAGGTTGAGTTAGGTCAAAGATCTATTTCTTAACATAA